AGCTTCCTGTTTCCTCAGATGAGCTTCCTGTCTCCTCAGAGGTGCTTCCTGTTTCCTCTGATGTGCTTCCTGTCTCTTCAGATGTGCTTCCTGTCTCCTCTGATGTGCTTCCTGTCTCCTCAGAGGTGCTTCCTGTCTCCTCAGATGAGCTTCCTGTCTCCTCAGATGAGCTTCCTGTCTCCTCAGAGGTGCTTCCTGTCTCCTCTGATGAGCTTCCTGTCTCCTCAGATGCTTCCTGTCTCTCAGATGCTTCTGTCTCCTCAGAAGTGCTTCCTGTCTCCTCAGAAGTGCTTCCTTCTCCTCAGCTTCCTGTCTGCTTCCTGTCTCCTCTGATGTGCTTTCTGTCTCCTCAGAGGTGCTTCCTGTCTCCTCAGATGTGCTTCCTGTCTCCTCAGATGTGCTTCCTGTCTCCTCAGAAGTGCTTCCTGTCTCCTCAGATGTGCTTCCTGTCTCCTCAGATGAGCTTCCTGTCTCCTCAGATGAGCTTCCTGTCTCCTCAGAGGTGCTTCCTGTCTCCTGAGCTTCCTGTCTCCTCAGATGAGCTTCCTGTCTCCTCAGAGGTGCTTCCTGTCTCCTCAGATGAGCTTCCTGTCTCCTCAGATGAGCTTCCTGTCTCCTCAGAGGTGCTTCCTGTCTCCTCAGATGAGCTTCCTGTCTCCTCAGATGAGCTTCCTGTCTCCTCAGAGGTGCTTCCTGTCTCCTCTGATGTGCTTCCTGTCTCCTCAGATGTGCTTCCTGTCTCCTCTGATGTGCTTCCTGTCTCCTCAGAGGTGCTTCCTGTCTCCTCAGATGAGCTTCCTGTCTCCTCAGATGAGCTTCCTGTCTCCTCCTTCCTGTCTCCTCAGATGAGCTTCCTGTCTCCTCAGATGAGCTTCCTGTCTCCTCAGATGTGCTTCCTGTCTCCTCTGATGTGCTTCCTGTCTCCTCAGAGGTGCTTCCTGTCTCCTCAGATGTGCTTCCTGTCTCCTCAGATGAGCTTCCTGTCTCCTCTGATGTGCTTCCTGTCTCCTCAGATGAGCTTCCTGTCTCCTCTGATGTGCTTCCTGTCTCCTCAGATGTGCTTCCTGTCTCCTCTGATGTGCTTCCTGTCTGATGTGCTTCCTGTCTCCTCAGAGGTGCTTCCTGTCTCCTCAGATGTGCTTCCTGTCTCCTCTGATGTACTTCCTGTCTCCTCAGAGGTGCTTCCTGTCTCCTCTGATGTGCTTCCTGTCTCCTCAGAGGTGCTTCCTGTCTCCTCAGATGAGCTTCCTGTCTCCTCAGAGGTGCTTCCTGTCTCCTCCTTCCTGTCTCCTCAGATGTGCTTCCTGTCTCCTCAGAAGTGCTTCCTGTCTCCTCAGAGGTGTTTCCTGTCTCCTCAGAAGTGCTTCCTGTCTCCTCAGATGAGCTTCCTGTCTCCTCAGAGGTGCTTCCTGTCTCCTCAGATGAACTTCCTGTCTCCTCAGAAGTGCTTCCTGTCTCCTCAGATGTGCTTCCTGTCTCCTCTGATGTGCTTCCTGTCTCCTCAGAGGTGCTTCCTGTCTCCTCAGATGCTTCCTCCTCAGAAGTGCTTCCTGTCTCCTCAGAGGTGCTTCCTGTCTCCTCAGATGTCCTTCCTGTCTCCTCAGAGGTGCTTCCTGTCTCCTCTGATGTGCTTCCTGTCTCCTCAGATGAGCTTCCTGTCTCCTCAGATGTGCTTCCTGTCTCCTCAGATGACTTCCTGTCTCCTCAGATGAGCTTCCTGTCTCCTCTGAGCTTCTGTCTCCTCAGATGCTTCTGTCTCCTCAGATGTGCTTCCTGTCTCCTCAGATGCTTCCTGTCTCCTCAGAGGGAGGTGCTTCCTGTCTCCTCAGATGTGCTTCCTGTCTCCTCAGGTGCTTCCTGTCTCCTCAGATGTGCTTCCTGTCTCCTCAGATGTGCTTCCTGTCTCCTCAGATGAGCTTCCTGTCTCCTCAGAGGTGCTTCCTGTCTCCTCAGAGGTGCTTCCTGTCTCCTCAGATGCTTCTCCTCCTTCCTGTCTCCTCTGATGTGCTTCCTGTCTCCTCAGATGGCTTCCTGTCTCCTCAGATGTGCTGTCTCCTCAGAGGTGCTTCCTGTCTCCTCAGATGAGCTTCCTGTCTCCTCAGAGGTGCTTCCTGTCTCCTCAGAGGTGCTTCCTGTCTCCTCAGATGCTTCCTGCCCTTGATGTGCTTCCTGTCTCCTCAGAGGTGCTTCCTGTCTCCTCAGAGGTGCTTCCTGTCACCCCAGAGGTGCTTCCTGTCTCCTCAGAGGTGCTTCCTGTCTCCTCAGATGTGCTTCCTGTCTCCTCAGAAGTGCTTCCTGTCTCCTCTGATGAGCTTCCTGTCTCCTCAGATGTGCTTCCTGTCTCCTCAGAGGTGCTTCCTGTCTCGAGGGCTTCCTGTCTCCTCAGATGTGCTTCCTGTCTCCTCAGATGTGCTTCCTGTCTCCTCAGAGGTGCTTCCTGTCTCCTCAGAGGTGCTTCCTGTCTCCTCAGATGTGTTTCCTGTCTCCTCAGAGGTGCTTCCTGTCTCCTCAGATGTGCTTCCTGTCTCCTCAGATGTGCTTCCTGTCTCCTCAGAGGTGCTTCCTGTCTCCTCAGAGGTGCTTCCTGTCTCCTCAGATGAGCTTCCTGTCTCCTCAGAGGTGCTTCCTGTCTCCTCAGATGTGCTTCCTGTTTCCTCAGATGTGCTTCCTGTCTCCTCAGATGTGCTTCCTGTCTCTTCAGATGTGCTTCCTGTCTCCTCAGAAGTGCTTCCTGTCTCCTCAGATGTGCTTCCTGTCTCCTCAGATGAGCTTCCTGTCTCCTCAGAGGTGCTTCCTGTCTCCTCAGAGGTGCTTCCTGTCTCCTCCGATGTGCTTCCTGTCTCCTCCGATGTGCTTCCTGTCTCCTGAGAGGTGCTTCCTGTCTCCTCTCTTCCTGTCTCCTCAGAGCTTCCTGTCTCCTCAGAGGTGCTTCCTCTCCTCCTTCCTGTCTGATGTGCTTCCTGTCTCCTCCGATGTGCTTCCTGTCTCCTCCGATGTGCTTCCTGTCTCCTCAGATGTGCTTCCTGTCTCCTCAGATGTGCTTCCTGTCTCCTCAGATGTGCTTCCTGTCTTCCTCAGATTCTTCCTGTCTCCTCAGAGGTTGCTTCCTGTCTCCTCAGATGTGCTTCCTGTCTCTTGCCTTCCTGTCTCTTCAGAACCTGATGTTGTGCTCACAGATCCCTGTGTGGTGCTTCCAGCCTCTAAGGTTGTGCTCTCAGATCCCTGTGAAGTGCTTTCAGATCCTGATGTGCTTACAGACCCTGATGTTGTTTTCTCAGGTCCCTGTGTGGTGCTTTCAGACTCTGATGTTGTGCCCACAGATCCCTGTGTGGTTATTACAGACTGTGATGTTGTACTCTCAGATCCCTGTGTGGTGCTTCCAGACTCTAAGGTTGTGCTCTCAGATCCCTGTGAAGTGCTTTCAGATCCTGATGTGCTTACAGACCCTGATGTTGTTTTCTCAGATCCCTCTGCGGTGGTTTCAGACTCGGGTGTTGTGCTTTCAGATCCCTGTGTGGTGCTTTTAGACTCTGATGTTGTGCTCTCAGATCCCTGTGTGGTGATTTCAGGCTCTGATGTTGTGCTCTCAGATCCCTGTGTGGTGCTTCTAGTCCCTGATGTGCTCACAGATCCTGAGGTTGTGGTTTTAGATCCCTGTGTGGTGGTTTCATACTCTGATGTGCTCTCAGATCCCTGTGAAGTGCTTTCAGACCCTGATGTGCTTACAGACCCTGATGTTGTGCTCTCAGGTCTGTGGGTGGTGCTTCCAGACTCTGATGTTGTGGTTTCATATCCCTGTGTGGTACTTCCAGACCCTGATTGTGCTCACAGATCCTGTGGTTGTGGTTTCAGATCCCTCTGCGGTGGTTTCAGACTCGGGTGTTGTGCTTTCAGATCCCTGTGTGGTGGTTTCAGACTCGGATGTTGTGCTTTCAGAGCCTTGTGTCTCCTCAGATGAGCTTACTGTCTCCTCTGATGAGCTTCCTGTCTCCTTAGAAGTGCTTCCTGTCTCCTTAGAGGTGCTTTCTGTCTCTTCTGATGTGCTTCCTGTCTCCTCAGAGGTGCTTCCTGTCTCCTCTGATGAGCTTCCTGTCTCCTCAGAGGTGCTTCCTGTCCTCTGTCCTCTGACCTCTGTCTTCCTCAGAGGTGCTTCCTGTCCTCCTCAGATGTGGTCTCTCAGGGTGCTTCTGTCTCCTCAGATGTGCTTCCTGGTCTCCTCTGATGTGCTTCCTGTCTCCTCAGAGGTGCTATCAGATGTGCTTTCTGTCTCCTCAGATGTGCTTCCTGTCTAGAGGTGCTTCCTGTCTCCTCAGATGTGCTTCCTGTCTCCTCTGATGTGCTTCCTGTCTCCTGTGATGTGCTTCCTGTCTCCTCTGATGTGCTTCCTGTCTCCTCTGATGTGCTTCCTGTCTCCACGGATGTGCTTCCTGTCTCCTCAGATGTACTTCCTGTCTCCTCTGATGTGATCCCTGTCTCCACAGATGTGCTTTCTGTCTCTTCAGAACCTGATGTTGTGCTCTCCGATCCATGTGAAGTGCTTTCAGATCCTGATGTGCTTACAGACCCTGATGTTGTGCTCTCAGGTCCCTGTGTGGTGCTTTCAGACTCTGATGTTGTGCTCACAGATCCCTGTGTGGTGATTCCAGACTGTGATGTTGTACTCTCAGATCCCTGTGTGGTGCTTCCAGACTCTGACGTGCTCTCAGATCCCAGTGTGGTGCTTCCAGTCTCTGATGCTGTGCTCTCAGTTCCCTGTGTGGTGATTTCAGATTCTGATGTTGTGCTCTGAGATCCCTGTGTAGTGCTTTCAGACTCTGATGTTGTGGTTTCAGATCCCTGTGTGGTGTTTTTCAGACTCTGATGTTGTGCTTTCAGATCCCTGTGTGGTGCTTCCAGACCCTGATGTGCTCAGATCCTGTGGTTGTGGTTTCAGATCCCTGTGTGGTGGTTTTAGACTCTGATGTTGTGGTTTCAGATCCCTTTGTGGTGCTTCCAGATCCTGATGTGCTCACAGATCCTGAGGTTGTGGTTTCAGATCCCTGTGTGGTGCTTCCAGACACTGAGGTTGTGCTCTCAGATCCCTGTGTGGTGCTTTCAGATTCTGATGTTGTGCTCTCAGATCCCTGTGTGGTGCTTCCAGACTCTGATGTAGTAGAGGTGGTTTCAGATTCTGATGTTGTGCTCTCAGATCCTTGTGTCTCCTCAGATGAGCTTCCTGTCACCTCTGATGTGCTCCCTGTCTCCTCAGGTGTACTTCCTGTCTCCTCTGATGTGCTTTCTGTCTCTTCAGAACTTGATGTTGTGCTCTCCGATCCCTTTGAAGTGCTTTCAGATCCCTGTGTGGTGATTTCAGTCTCTGATGTTGTGCTCTGAGATCCCTGTGTAGTGCTTTCAGACTCTGATGTTGTGCTATCAGATCCATTTGTGGTGTTTTCAGACTCTGATGTTGTGCTTTCAGTTCCCTGTGTGGTGTTTTCAGACTCTGATGTTGTGCTCCCAGATCCTTGTGTGGTGCTTCCAGACCCTGATGTGCTCACAGATACTATGGTTGTGCTTTCAGATCCTTGTGTGGTGATTTCAGACTCTGATGTGCTTTTAGATCCTTGTGTGGTACTTCCAGACCCTGATGTTGTGCTTTTAGATCCCTGTGTTGTGATTTCAGACCCTGACGTTGTGCTCTCAGGTCCATGTGTGGTACTTCCAGACCCTGATGTTGTGCTCTCAGATCCCTGTGTCTCCTCAGATGAACTTCCTGTCTCCTCAGAAGTGCTTCCTGTCTCCTCTGATGTGCTTCCTGTCTCCTCTGATGTGCTTCCTGTCTCCTCAGAGGTGCTTCCTGTCTCCTCCTTCCTGTCTCCTCAGATGTGCTTCCTGTCTCCTCTCTTCTGTCCTGATGTGCTTCCTGTCTCCTCAGATGAGCTTCCTGTCTCCTCAGATGTGCTTCCTGTCTCCTCAGATGAGTTCTTCCTCAGAGGTGCTTCCTGTCTCCTCCGATGTGCTTCCTGTCTCCTCAGATGTGCTTCCTGTCTCCTCAGATGTGCTTCCTGTCTCCTCAGATGTGCTTCCTCTCCTCAGTGCTCCTCCTCCGATGTGCTTCCTGTCTCCTCAGATGTGAGATGTGCTTCCTGTCTCCTCAGAGGTGCTTCCTGTCTCCTCAGAGGTGCTTCCTGTCTCCTCAGATGAGCTTCCTGTCTCCTCAGATGTGCTTCCTGTCTCCTCAGATGTGCTTCCTGTCTCCTCAGATGTGCTTCCTGTCTCCTCTGATGTGCTTCCTGTCTCTTCTGATGTGCTTCCTGTCTCCTCAGATGAGCTTCCTGTCTCCTCAGATGTGCTTCCTGTCTCCTCAGATGAGCTTCCGGTCTCCTCAGAGGTGCTTCCTGTCTCCTCCGATGTGCTTCCTGTCTCCTCAGATGTGCTTCCTGTCTCCTCAGATGTGCTTCCTGTCTCCTCAGATGTGCTTCCTGTCTCCTCAGAGGTGCTTCCTGTCTCCTCCGATGTGCTTCCTGTCTCCTCAGATGAGCTTCCTGTCTCCTCAGATGTGCTTCCTGTCTCCTCAGAGGTGCTTCCTGTCTCCTCAGAGGTGCTTCCTGTCTCCTCAGATGTTCCTGTCTCCTCAGATGTTGCTTCCTGTCTCCTCAGATGAGCTTCCTGTCTCCTGAGCTTCCTGTCTCTCAGATGAGCTTCCTCCTGTCTCCTCAGATGAGCTTCCTGTCTCCTCAGATTGGATCTTCCTGTCTGATGTGCTTCTGTCTCCTCAGATGTGCTTCCTGTCTCCTCAGATGAGCTTCCTGTTCCTCAGAGGTGCTTCCGTCTCCTCAGAAGTCTCCTCTGATGTGCTTCCTGTCTCCTCTGATGTGCTTCCTGTCTCCTCTGATGTGCTTCCTGTCTCCTCAGATGAGCTTCCTGTCTCCTCAGAAGTGCTTCCTGTCTCCTCTGATGTGCTTCCTGTCTCCTCAGATGAGCTTCCTGTCTCCTCCTTTCCTGTCTCCTCTGAATGTGCTTCCTGTCTCCTCTCTTCCTGTCTCCTCAATGTGCTTCCTGTCTCCTTCTGATGTGCTTCCTGTCTCCTCTGATGTGCTCTGTCTCCTCAGATGTGCTTCCTGTCTCTCAGATGAAGCTTCCTGTCTCCTCAGATGAGCTTCCTGTCTCCTCTGATGTGCTTCCTGTCTCTCTTCCTGATGTGCTTCCTGTCTCCTCAGAAGTGCTTCCTGTCTCTCAGATGCTTCCTGTCTCCTCAGATGTGCTTGTCTCTCAGATGTGCTTCCTGTCTCCTCAGAGGTGCTTCCTGTCTCCTCAGATGTGCTTCCTGTCCTCAGATGTGCTTCCTGTCTCTCAGATGCTTCCTGTCTCCTCAGATGAGCTTCCTGTCTCCTCAGATGTGTCTCCTCTGATGTGCTTCTGTCTCCTCAGTGAGCTTCCTGTCTCCTCAGATGCTTCCTGTCTCCTCTCAGATGTGCTTCTCCTGTCTCCTCAGATGTGCTTCCTGTCTCCTTGATGTGC